ATTTCTTGACAACCTAATATACCATTGACTAGTTGAGTTTAACGTTATCGATACGTTCATCTTTACTTTTTAATGGATTTTGTTCTTAATTAACCTGAAATGTCTTTTAAACCTTCTTATTTTGTATATTTAAAACAAGTGGTATGGTTACAGTAATCAAAAAGTGTTCTTATTGTTTTGATATTCATGTTTCTATATATATAGAAATTTATTTATACGGATGAATGTGTGTTTGCTTTTCTAAGTGGACCAATGTGCAGTTATTGTATATTTATTTCTATAATTAGGCAAAAGGCAAATAATAAAATCTTTCACATTTTTGTAAAAATATTTTTAATGTTATTTATAAGTTCTTTACACTTATGCCTTATTTTAATTTTCTTTTAACTGATAACTTAGACATTTGTGATACTGATGCTAAAATTATAACTAAAAAAATGAGGTTCCAATTATATGTCTGCAGTGTACATTAAATCCATGAATTAAATGTAAGAATGAGATACGCTTGCATGATTATTAAGTTTTTGGCTTAATTGCCGTGTTTTAATTGAGTTTTTATTTTTGATCTTTTTTTTTTCATTCTCTATTGATAAGATTATAAAAGGGTATAATGCTTTTTTTTTCTGAAAAATATAGAAATTACAAATAGTTTAACTTTCTTTTAAATAATGTAGTCTCAGTTGTTTTACAATGCGTTATTCGGTATGAACTATGTACAATAAATAAATAGTAGCGAAGTTACCAGTTGTTAGGTGGTATCATACTTTAAGATATCATTTGTATACAATAGTACATAGTGTTCTAAAGTAGCATGGATTTATCCTCATTCTTGTTTGCAATTCTGTTGTTAACTAGAAACACAGCCAAAATCCTCTGACGATGTTAAGGAAATTAAAATTTACTGTGATCAGACAACTGAAACAGTTGAAAAATCACTTTTATTTCAGAATTCGTAGAACAAAATGAAGACAAAACTGATAGTAGGTTAAACATGTTTTTGTCCCAAGGGTGCAAACATTTTACATGATCAAAAGATATTGAAATATCCTCCACCTATATCCCCACTTTCCAATTTTCATTATAAAAGCCATAACCTGAGATTCAAACATCTGTATATTTTAATTGCATCTGTACAACAGAAGTGCTCCCAAAGAATTCAATCGAACAGTAGGCGACAATTATAATTAATCATCTAATATTCCTTTGATAACTCAGATAACTGAAACATTTGGAAAGTTCACTAAATCTCCCAAATATCTTGTCTAAACAATTCCATCTTCAACACACTTTCTGGTTTTCCATCCGTTGTACCGAAATCCCTTTTCTTGCATTAAAAAGTGCCCGATGCACCTTCTCTCGCGAAAGAAAGTATCAGAGGTTATACCAGTACAGTCGAACCAAATCTTTGCTTGTAGTTTCTCAGGAGCCATCGTTATTGACTGCTGGTGCCGATCCTCTATTTTTATTTTGTTACTGAAAGCCGTATTATTTTTTTTATAGGAAACTTCGATAAGAAATATATCACCTAAAACGTTTTGAGTTGTAAGTTGAACAAAATACCATAAATATTAGTTAATTTTCCAAATCCAATAAAAATAACCTGTTAGAATTATAACCTTAAAGGTTTTTATAGGATTACACAATCATTTAATGAATGGACTAATAAGTTAAATAAGTTTAAAGCAATGTTTTTGATACTAGGGAGTGTCGCACTAGAGAAATGTATTACCCAGATATTCCTCACAGGTTATAAATCATTTGACCAAACATCAAGGAAACTACATAAAAACATATATTACTCTCATAACATCAAACTATCTGATAAGCGTTTTCAATAATGGCTTTTATGTTATGTTGCTTAGCAAAAAAATATAACTTGATATTTGAATAGATTTGTTTAAACATTTGTTTAACAACAAGTAAAAGCTTGGAATAGTCTATTCTTTCATTGAGGTGTGTGTCTGTGAGCCAGACTTGTTTCGGAGAATTCTACTCTATTCAAGATGCAAAATGACAAGTTAAATAACGCTACAATACATAATCTAGATACTGAAAGAGGCGTTGGCTTCATAAATTATGAACTGTCGAGAAGAGGTGCCCCTCACAGTTAGCTGCTTCTTCATCACAGGTGAAGTCTAATTCCCTCGACCTGATAGCAAAGAGGCAGCCCTGGGCTTTCAGAGCTTATAACACTCTAGAGGGGAAATGGGGCAGAATTCCAAAGATCATGATTGCATGGGATACTAAAAAGAAGAGCTGAAAATGCAAGGACTAAAGGGCAAGGAGATTACCAATCTTGCTGTTGATAAGCAGCGGAACAAAGACCTGGTCTCATTAAAAAGTATGGAAGGACCTTTTACCTCTTCAGGAGAGGTTCATGAGTACATGGAAAGCAGTGTGGGCGACAAGACAAAGGAGCAAAGACTGTATTTGGAAATCCGTTATGCTCGTGATACGTCTTTCTCTGTACCTAAAGCGAGTGACATCTTCAGGCTTATGAAGGATTACAAAAATCTTCTGGCCATTTCATACGATGTGAATCTTAAAACTTATCTTTCAAATGTCTCTTCAAAGGCAATCTTGAGGACTTCAATAATGGGACTTCAAAGAGTTGATACCCAAATTTAAGGGGTTTGTCCAGGGGAGTTGCACTTATTACATAACCTAATTTTTTTTATATTTTCTTAATCAAATATGATGACTACAACTTTTTAGTTGGGCCCCGTAAGATTCTAAATTTAACACCACTCCCTAATAATAGGGATCGCAAAGAATTGCACAAAGCCTTAATTATATACTCAAACTACAAATACATATTTAGATTCCATCAAATGTAATCCTAGTAAACAGCATGGCCAAAATAGGAGTTTGTAGTTTGAGTAAATAATGTCTACAGTATCTTCAGCCTTGTTTCCTTACTTTTTTATGATCCCTATTTACAGTTTTTTAAATTCAAAATTTTTTATTTATCTTACTTAGTCTTACGTTAGTTTGCCGTCTTGCTATAGGCTACTGTCATGCAGATACGTTAGAAAAAAAAATTAGTAGGCTTATTCATTAACTGTAAGAGTTTAAACATCGAAAGTCATAAGTTTGTTACAAAAATCACATAATTAGAAGTTGATTTTATTTCGACATTCTTCAAAATTAAAGGCTTGTAAAAATAGCATTTCAAATCTATCTTTTACCTCCCAACTGACGAGTTCTGATGGCTGATGAGGATGATACCACTGTGTACAGGCCCATCTCGTTTTCCGGAATTTGAGGCGCAATATACCTATGTTTGTTTATATACTTTGTGTAAAAATACATTGCTTTTGATTTCCATTTTTAATTAAAAAAGAAAAGAAAACACATTGAACATACATTTCACTTCAGCATACACTTTCCTTTGGACCGTATTTCCTGTTAAGTCAAAGGGTGGAAAAGAGTAACGTTAGGCCTATGTAAATAACCGCTGGTCAGACTAATCGCCGAAAAGAAGCAATAAAAGACCAATAATTCACAAAAAAGTCAAAATATAACAGAATATACAATAATGGCCTTTTTCCAATTAATGATTAACCCTTTTCAGATCGTTATTGCTTCTTTTCAATCTATGTAATCTTTTGAAAAAAAGCTCCTTATCGAAACGACATAAGAAAGAAAAATTGACCAAGGCCGTCAGAAAAGGTAAGGGGGTGTGCGTTGGGTGCAGTCTCACCTCCCCCTTTTTTTTTACAATGAAGCCTCCCTCGGTATTAAAATTTTTATGAATAGATGAAAAAAACATCCAAGTCTATCCAATAAAAATTTCTCCATCAACATAAAAATGAAATATAGTAGAAACTAGATAATATTATTGATGAATGAGCCCCCTCTACAGTTAACCTTGATATAAAAAATGAACTAATACATAGAGACCTATATGTGAAAAAGCAATAACAATCTTTCTTGTTTAATAGCGAGGGTTGAAGAAACGAGAAGATAAAAAAATTGAACGAAATTTTCTAGCATACCTAACACAGGAGCGAGGTGACGGAATCAGAAGTTAACCGAATATATAAACGGCGTTGGTGTTTTGCACCAAGTCAGTTTCTGTAAAACTATACATAACAATATTTACTATAATTCCAAATTTACTTTGTGTATCTACATGATATTTGGTAAGTCTTTATTAACATTACGAATATGTTGTATAAAAAAAAAATCAGAAATTTTAATAAAGTACTTTTACTAAAGACGTGTCTGTGGATTTACTGAGTCGGTCTAAATCAGATTATGATTAGTCTGAGTGTAAGGTGATTTTCATGTTAACAATAAAAATACTCTTTCTCACGTTACAGTTTTCATAGTTTATTTGAATAACATCTAGAACGTCCTAAATTATGATGAGAAATCTTTTTTTCAGTAAAACTTTATGTTTTATTTATTTTCTCTACCTTAACACTAAATGCAGCTAAATCATCGATGTTTGTTAAAATAAAAAGTTGTAATGCACGAAGAAAATCTAAATTACACCATTTTTCTGTCTAAAATAACAATTACACACTATTCATTTTTACATCTAAAGTTTATAGACTTTTACTCCTCTGTTCGTTTAGGTGTATTGCTTTACAGCTATACTCAGTTCCTTAAAGAGCACACCGAATACACTATAATATCCAGATAATATTATATCAGGAGGGTCAGCAAGATGATGCTTCATATATTTTATCTAGGTTACAAGTTCTGTATTTGAAATGTTGAGCTTTTAAAGTGTGATATCGAATGTTTTGTTTGCTTTGGAGATGCTAATTAAAATACGAAAATAATGCTATACACATGTACACAATTATGAATGTGTCAGTTTTGTTTGGTTAGAAATACTGTGTAAACTACAACCGAGTGGTTGATGGTAGTGGTCGATTGCACAAAGTATTATATAATCACTTATAGGTTTTGACACGCTATATTAATAAGAACTAGAAAATATTGAACGCAACCGTATAGAAATAGTGAGTTCGAAAGTAAATAATAGTTTTCAAGGGCATCCAATTTATTCGCTAAGTTCATTTATTTACAAAATAGAACATTCAGTAGAAAGTACGATTAAGGACAGAAAGAGTTATATTAAGGTATGCATTAAACACATTTAAAATAATTAAGTGATCCAGAACATTTCAAAATTAGCTAAGATAAGCAACGTCTGTCTTGCTCTTGATAAAACAGCTTTCACTTCTTGATAGAACGGACGGAAGAAGAGCAACAAGGCCGGATTTATCTCGCTCGCCAGTTTTCCGTTTCTGCTGTTACGATTAACTAAAACTGACATCCATAATCTACTCTTCCTCATCCTTTTCAACACTACAAAAATTTGCCACATAATTAGATTGTAAAATCTAAAATCTTTACATTCTTGGGTAATCGCGTTTTCCGAACGAACTTTCAGATATTTTTTAGGCTATTAATCATGATATTTAACACTATCCATCTTTTGTTTTGTATTATGTAGAAAGGCATAACTTTATTCTGAAAAAAGCGTAAACAAGTTGAAGGTTAAGAAAGTGAGATGTTTTTTCGTTATACAGATGTTTAACAACAATAGAATAATGTATCATAAACTATTCTCCTAACAACATCTTAGAGTTCAATTTGTTTTACTCAACACTATATTTTATCCATGTAGCTTACATTATATGTATAAGAACTTGATGTGAATTGTAAAAACGTGTTTGCATGTACAATTAAACTGGAGATCAGATTTCAGAAAGACAACTTTGTCGGAAAGAGTAAAACTCTCCTTAAAGCTAATCATCTATCGACACCTTAATCATTTCTGGAGACGGCTTGAATGGGTAATGAATAAAAACTTTAATATAACAGCAAATGTACAACGTTTCGACAAGTCTCAAAGTGGGTTCCTCGTCATCGAATTTAAACCCAAAATATAGTTATTCGTATTACCCATCGTCATTTCTTTGGGGAAGGGGGACTCCCGCCAGCTTCTTTCCTCTGTGATTTTTGCCGTCTTTAGTATCCCCCCAGTGTGCCAGCGGCAAATTTACAGACTTGCAGCACTAAAATCCGGGGTTCGATTCCCCGTGGTGGACACACTGGAGATAGCACACTTTTGATCAATTCTTTTTTTTTTCATGGATTGTTAGGAAGCATTTCTCCTACTGTAAAATTTACTGACCACGGAAACTTTGCTTACTTCTCCTCTTGATTTTCTTTCCCTTGACTTACCAAAGTTACTATACTTAATTCTTCCCTTGATTTATAGGTCTTATATATCTACAATCACGTTCTCAAACCCTTACGCATTATTTCAGCAGTTTTGTTTTGTTCCCACTTTTCACTAAAGCGAAGAAGAAAATAATCTTAATATTTAGACCGGGCTGTGAATCTTAATATCCTTAATTCGCTTCCTGTTTTTCAAGGTCGTAGACCGCATTTTGAGATCGTGGGTGCATTATGAGAGTGTCGATCAAGTCCCACTGTTTGATTAAAGAAAGCCTAAGAGTTAGCGGCAGGTGATGATGACTTCTCTCTTGTCTAACAGTTGAAAAATAGGAACAGTTAGTGCAGATAGCCCTTGAGTAGCTGATGGTAAATATCCGAAACAACAACAAAAATCTTAATATTTTCAATACCCCAAGGTTCAGTTTAGAAATTTTGTTTCTTAATTACAATAAACATGACACAACCATACAAACTTCCTTTCCAAGTGACACACACACACTACAAATAACTTTCTCTGTAGTGACTTTTTGTAAACACAAAATCCATAACTGCATATCACACACTACAAATATTTTTATTGTAATGACTGTTTGTAAATACAACCTCAATAATCAGGGTTCACACACTATAGATAGCTTTCACAAATACTTCTTAGCAGAGTATCACAAATTACAAACACATTTTACTGTAAACATCTTCTATTACTCTTTATAAATTCAAACTCTGCCTGATATGCATTTTTAACAATGGATTTTATGTTATGTCGCTTAGCAACAAATGTAGTAACTTGATAATGTTGATATTCTCGGCACCGAAAGTGTAAAATAAGATGCCTAGACAATGAAACAAAAGTATAACCTAATATTGTTGTTAGTCTATGTACTGAAAATATAAAACGAAGTGCATAAACTACAAAACTGGAAAAACATGTGTTGATTTCTTAATTTAGAGTCTCCGTTGATTAAAGATGTTTTTTTTTATTAAAAACGTTGGTGATATTACAGAAAATACCTTGATTCATCTAGTGGCATCTATAATTATGTTTAACATATTCATTTAGAATATATCAACGATTCAACATAATAACCCGAGCGAAGCCAGATACTTTTGCTAGTCTATAATAATTAAACGGCGTGTCTGTATGTATGTGAGCGCAAGCGAAAGAACACATAGAAGAGAATATGTGATTGCCATAGCTCCAAAAGCAAAGAACCTAGAAACCTGAAATTTTGCACCCATACTAAATGGTCCCTGAATGTTTATTCCTAGGTATTATTACTTATGTACGTGCGTGCGCGCATGCGCATAATTTTTTATGAGGCAAGCTAGCGAAAAACCGCATAGAAAAGAAGTGGTTCCTTATATTATAAATAGAGATCACAGACAGACGTCCACACGTGCGTGTCCGCTATAGCTCCAAGAGGAAAGAACCTATAAATCTGAAATTTTGCACACAGACTAAGTGGATCCTAAGGATATGCACCTGGGTATTATTACTTATCCACGTGCATGTGCTCATGCGCGTGCGCATCTCTTTAATGAGGTAAGCTAGATAAAAAACACATAGAAAAGAAATTTGTGACTGATTGCCATAGTTCCAAGAAGAAAGAACCGAGAAACCAAAAATTTTGCACCCATACTAAGTAGAACCTGAGGGTGTGCACCTGGGTATTACTTATCTTATCCATGTGCACGCGCGCATGTGTGTGCACATGTTTTGAATGAGGCAAGGTAGCAAAAAAACATATAGAAAAAAGTGGTTCATTATATTACAAATATAATCGTTTTTAATGAGACAAACTAGCGAAAAGCCGCATACAATAGAAGTGGTTCTTTATATAACAACTTCTAATATATAGAAAAGCCAGTGCATTTTAGTAACAATGCATTCCAACCAAAAGTATATAGGTTATACTAAAATGGGTTCAGAATACACACACACTGACATAATCGTCTGGAATATATCAACCTAGTAACCCAAGCAAACTGAGTAATTTCGTTAGTTTGTAATATAAAGAACCACTTCTTCTCTATGGTTTTTTCGCTAGCTTGCCTCATTAAAATGATGCGTATGAGCACACGCACATGAATAAGACAAGTAATAACACCTAGGTGCATACTCTCAGGGTCCACTTAGTATGAGTGCAAAATTTAAGATTTCCATGTTCTTTGCTCTTGGAACTATGGCAGTAACATTTCTTTTCTAAGTGGTTTTTCGCATAAAGAGATGCGCACGTACGTAGACGAGTAATAATATGCAGATACAGACCCTCATGGTCCACTTAGTATGTGTGCAAATTTCAGGTTTCTAGGTTCTTTCCTCTTGAAGTTATGCAAGTGTATACTGAAGCCATTTTAGCAAAAAAGTATAACTTATATATTTTGTTGGTAAGCAACATGACATAAAAGCCATTGTTGGAATGCATTGGCTTTTCTATATATTAGAAGTTGTTATATAAGGAATCTCTTCTTTTATATGTGGTTTTTCGCTAGTTTGCCTCATTAAAAAGACGCGTATGCATGCACGCACATGGATAAGATAAGTAATGACACCCAAGTGAACACCCTCAGGTTTCACTTAGTTTGTTTGTTATGAATTTCATGCAACGCTACACGGGGGCTATCTGCGCTAGCTGTTCCTAATTTAGCAGTGTAAAACTAGAGGGAAGGCAGCTATCCATCACCAACCACCGCCAACTCTTAGGCTACTCTTTTACCAACGAATAGTGGGATTGACCGTAACATTATAACGCCCCCACGGCTGAAAGGTTAAGCATGTTTGGTGTGACGGTGATTCGAACCGGCGACCCACAGATTGCGAGTTGAGCACCGTAACCACCTGGCCATGCCGGGCCCTTACCCTTAGTATGGGTGCAAAATTTTAGGTTTCTAGGTTCTTTCCTCTTGGAGCTATGGCAGTTACATATACACAGACACGCACGTGTCCATGCATGCAGATATGTATGTGTCTTTACTTTCTAATTGTAATATAAGGAACTACTTCTTTTCTATGTGGTTTTTTGCTAGCTTGTCTCATTAAAAAGATGCACACGCAGATGCGCGCAAGCACATGGATAAAATAAGTAGTATCTAGGTGCAAACCCTCAGGGTCCACTTAGTATGGGTGCAATATTTCAGGTTTCTAGGTTCTTTCCTCTTTGAACTATGCCGATCACATATTATTTTCTATATGGTTTTTCGCTAGCTTGTCTCATAAAAAAATGCGCACCCGCACGCGGATAAATAATAATACCGAAATGCATAGCCTCAGGGTCCGCTTACTATGTGTGAAAAGTTTCAGGTATCTAGGTTCTTTCCTCTTGGAAATATGGCAGTCATACACAAACAGACAGACCCACAGACACGTCCGTTTATTATTGTAGGCTAGCGAATGTATCCAACTTCGCTCGGGTTATTATATTTATATTATATCATATATATATCGGGTTGATATATTCTAGAAGACTATTTTATAGATAATTATAGATGCCACTGTACGTCACGTTGTCTAACCAATATAAAAGCCAGTATGTGTCCTGTCACGTCACGCTTGATTGTAAATTTAAATGGTTTCTGTATTAAGGTATTTTCTGTTATATCACCAACGTTTCAAATAAAAAACAAACCTTTTTCATCAATGGAGACTCTAAATTAAGAAATCAACAAATATGTTTCCACTTTTGTAGTTTACGCATTTAATTTTTATTCTTTCAGTACATAGACTAACAACAACATTAGATTATACTTTTGTTGCTAACAGTGCATTCCAACAACATAAAAGCCATTGTTACCAAAATGCACTGGCTTTTGTATATATTAGATGTTATTATATAAGGAACCACTTCTTTTCTTTGTGGTTTTTCGCTAGCTTACCTCATTACAAAGATGTGCCCACACCCGCACGTGGATAAGATAAGTAATAATACCCCGGTGCACACCCTCACAAAATTTTATGTTTCTAGGATATTTCATTTTGGAGCTATGGTGAGCACATTTCTTTTCTATGTAGTTTTAGTATAAAAGGATGCGCATGCGCATGCGCACACCACGTAGATAAGTAATAATACTAAGAGGGTCCACTTAGTATGGATGCAAACTTTTAGGTTTCTAGGTTGTTTGCTCTTACTTCTACGGCGGTAACATCTTCTTTCCAATGTAGTTTTTTGCTAGATTGCCTCATTAAAATATGTGTTCGCGCACGTACTTGGATAAATAATAACATCCAGGTTCACACCCTCTGGATCCATTTAGTAATTGTGGAAAATTTCAGGTTTCTATGTTGTTTCTTCTTGGAGTTATGACGATCACACACACAGACCCACAGACAAACCATTTATTCTTATAGATTTGTTAATTAAACTATCAAGGTGATTGTAATATTCTACTTCTCTGATCTGCCCCGAAAAAACCATTAAGAAAATATACACCTTACACCAGTATACTTAGCATTATTAATTTTAGTTTAACTCTTGCGTACTTTGATGCATCACACAGTCTACAATTTTTCAACACTGCTGGTAAACTTTGTATCCTTTCAACTATTCTTGTTTGTATCTTAACAGCTTCAGTTTTCCGTCCATTTACTTTGTAGCTAATCAGAACAATTTTGCAATTATTTTTATATTTCACATAAGTAATATATATATCAAATGTTACTATAGCTATATAGTTAGTATCATGATATTAATATATATTTTAATATTATAATTGCTTGTTTGAAGTTAAGCACAAACCTACACAATGGGCTATCTGTACTCAGCCCACCACGGGTATCGAAACCAGGTTTCTAGCGTTGTAAGTCCGCAGACATACCGCTGTGCCACTGGGGGGGGGCTTGTATCAAGTACAGTAAAGATTAGCCTTAACTAACATTGAGTAAAAATCGTACACAAGTTACGGTGATAATTTATCATTTTTTTGTTATTATCTAATATAGACCATACTTAATAAAGGCTTAACTAATATTAGGCCTAAGAGAAGTGGACTGATATATTTCAGTATCTGCGATTAGAAAAAAAAAATGTACTATTTTGAAACTAAAAGTTCTGATACACTTGCCATTTGTTTGCTTCCTGTTAACTAGCTTAACAGGAAATATAATATATTATGGTTTAAGCCTATGATCCTGTATTTGAAGAAGTTATGTTACAATAAAATACTAATTTGACCGCAAATGTTTTGCCGGTCTATGCTGGTAAATTACATAATCTTATGTCATACACACTACAAACAGCTTTTACTGTATAGATTGCATGTAAACACAAACTCCATAACCAATTGTTACACGCTACAAATAATTTTCACTGCTGTGATTGTTTGAAAACACAAGCTCAATAAAAGCTGTCACATATTCAATTAGTTTTAAACTATAAAATATTGAGTCCTTTTTACACATATATTTGTGTCAGTTGAGAAAAATTAAAAAATAAAAATAAATTAAAACTAATATATATTTTTTAAGATTGTTTTGAAACTTTCAGTTTCCGCGATATTTGTACAATATGGTGTTTTATCTCAGACATCATACAATGAAATGCAATTTGGTAATTTTTAAGCCGAAAACTAATTTTCACTGTAAAACCTTCTTCAATATTTCCTGATGATGACAAAACCTTGTCGAAACGTTGTACAATTGCTGTTATGTTAAACTTATATTAAAGTTTTTCTTCATTACCCATTCAAGCCGTCTCCAGCCATTATTAGTCTCAAAGTGGGTTCCTCGTCATCGAATTTTAATATTTTTTTCCTTTTTCAATATTTCTCAACCTCACCTCCATCCTCCCTTTTTTTATTATTCACCAACCCAATCTTTTCTTTCCATTTCCAATGTTCATGAAACTTACCTTTTCTAATATTCATGAACCATCACTCTTTTTCTTCTTACCCACAGATTCAACTTCCAACGTTTTATAATAAAAGTGGCATGCTAAACTCGTGATACAAATAGTGTGTAACATTTCACGATAGCTTAGGCCACAAAGCTTAAAAAAGTGATATATCTAATGATTGCTTTCAATTGACATTACAAATTATGGTCCCTTGAGTACAAATGTGTTAATTCTCCTAAAACTTAGTAATCTTACGATATGTACCCAGACTTGTTGTTAAACATAAAATGTTGACGTGGGCTATTCAAACGTACATTTAAATAAAATGTCTCTTTTGAACCTGTTGTAAAAGTAACATACATTTCATATGGCGAACAAAGGCTTAAACTGAGTCTGACTGAAGGGAAGTTGAATAACCAATCGAATTTTAGTAACAAAACTAAGCTCTTGGAGTGGTCGATTGTCATTGTGCACGTGATTTATATGTGATGAAATATTTTAACAAAAGTTGACGACTGTGATAAACTTTACCACTTTTTAATAGACTTTCAATAACGCTATGATGAGGTATTGCTTGGGTATTGGTGTTTTTATCTGCATCTGTATTTGTGTACGGGCTCCAAATGTTCCTTTATACTGCCGTAAGTTTATTTAATGTCTTTAATTATTACTTGACTTGTTTTATAATGTTTACATGGACTGGAATATTGTACTGAATGAAAGAACTGATGACCACTTGGTTTTAGTATTTTAGCGCCTTCTATTGCGATTTTAATAAGTTAATAATACATCACCCTTATTCATTCTTAAACTCAAATTATACTAGAAATAGTTGTTTTTTTAACACCAAGAATTATTAAATATCACTACCTTTATTAACGAAACATCAGGAGTTTTCTGTTTGCAAGTTCAAGTTCATTATGTTTTGTTCAATATTTGTTCAAATATTTTGTTCGTTAAGTAACAACTCAACATGTAAAGTATACTTTACATGTCGCATGTATACACTAACAAACTGTTTTTACTTAGTGACCTCTGTCGTCATTTAATCAACCCCATAACCTTCCTGTAATTTCTTTGTCGTAATATATATTTGTAAAATAACTTTTATGATGTTACTCAATATTTTCTATAATTATTTACAGCTCTGAACTCGGGCCAGTTGGAGGCATTTTCAGCATGTGTAAGAAAAACAGCACCTGGCTTCGTAAGTCAACAAAGTTTAATTAGTAATTGCAAAACAACATACGAAAACAAAACAACAACAAACAAACACGACCGATTGATAAGTATCAACCAGGAAATTTAGTTACTTAGTATATTTCATAGCACAAAAAGTATTTGGTAATAACAAAACAAAGTATGTAAATTACATAATCAGATGGCCAAACTCGTGTTTTTCTCAATGAATTCATTGTTAAAATATGAATAGAAACTATTATTGTAATAGTGACATGTAAAAGTTACAAAATATAAAATAATACTATAAAATTCTTTACTCTTTATTACTTGTACGTGGTCTTTTAACGTATATACAGATCTAGATTGTTAGCTCAAAACAATAAATTAAGGTGTAGATTATCAATACACTTACCGCTTAACCTTCTGTAGAGGTAGCTCTTTCAGTAAAATGGAAAATTCAAATGATATTTATATTCAGATAAAATCTCTCGAATAGGGAGAATGACGTCACACGATATTCTACACAACAGTAACTGTTTACCGAGCGACGAAGACATTTTTATCCATAATTTAATCCCATAAATGTTGTTTTTCTTTTTTCAAATTTGCTTTTGATATCACTTCACTGTTTTGATATCACTTCACTGTTTTGAAGATGTCATGCTATATTTATTGGGATTATTTTGTTATCCAAGTTTCACACCAACTTATAATGGTTAGTTGTGACAACAGGAGGATTAATCTGTATCATAGCAAGAACTTTTTTACTGACAACGAGTTCTACCATTATCTCATAAAACATTAAGGTAAATATTAATATTAACTGATTTTTATAAAATATTTATTGTCAGTACGCTAATGCATGGGACTCGTGTTCTAAAAGAATTATGCCGGATGCTGATGACGCCACGTTATTGCGTGCAACCTGCTCGGCGGACGAAACTGTTAAAGCTCAGGTATGAATAATATTTGCAAAATTGAGTTACTTAATCGCTATTAAAAAAGTTTAGACATTTGCAGATGTTAAAAAATCTTGTTAGTTTTTGTAATTATTTTCTACCTTTGGCACAAATAAATTTAATTCATTTTTAAAATATCAAAGTAAATTTTTAATATTTTTAGTGTCGACGTTTTATTTTATTTTTTTATCAATATTGACATCTTAATAGTTAAAAAACTGCTTCAATATCTCAACTAAAATGTGTAGTTTATGTTTAGTATGACTACTTTTTAATTAATGTTACATCCATTTTTGTTTGTTCACGTTAGATGGCAGCATGTTTGCGACCGAACGTGGTAAGTATAAAACAGTTTCACAATACATTATTTTTGTTGCAATAAATAAAGAAATAAGTCTAACGATGTATCACAAGTCCATAAGATATAACAATAAAGTGAGACCTTCATGAACACATAAGAGAAATTTAATAATTCAAACAGTTTTCGTGTTGTTATGTTTTCATTAGCTTCAACATATACAGGTTGTTAACGAGTAAGTAGCAATATGCAACAACGTACCTTCACTGAAGGTTCTGAATCTTATATAAGATAATATATGTGGATTATGTTCTACCTATTTTAGAAGATTGGGGACAGCAGTTTTCCAAGGAAAACTTCTTTAGTATTAGTTCTAAGTGCAAGTGTTTTTGATTTTCTACCTAATATTGATTGGAAATTGATCTCTGATAGGAAACCTTTTTTGTTTGTACCGTCAGTGATTGACTCACGTTCGGATATTTTATGTAGGTTGTTAAGTAGTATCTAAAAAGTACAGTTGAATAAATTTTTAAAAATAAAATTTTACAATTTTGTTTGATTTAATCCTGCTCCTTACTGGTAAGTTTTTTTCCCTATTATCGACGTTTAATATATTAAATAATAAGCATTTAAAACAGGTCAGGAGTCGAAGATTGTAAGAAAACAGCAGCAACAACAAAAAAGACCATATTTTTGAAAATATTAATACAGTAGATATAAATTATTTTCGTAGTTTGATAAAGACAGAAATTCAATAGCTATTAAAATATGTTTTGTTTGTAATAACTTCGAGAGCAAACAGAATGAATAGTATCTCTGATGGACTTTTCTACTTTTATAACTTTATAATAGGAAGATATAAGCGAGTTACAGAAGGCAATGGTAAACTGCGTGAATAAAGTCTAGAAGAAAGCTAACTATGACAGGTTAGTACATTCATAAACAAACTGAACCATAGTTACATGTTATAAATAAAAGTTTATTTCTTTTGCTATAGTATCCTGCTATCTAACTACGTTATATTACTCATGATAATTAACTTTAAGTATAATAGTTCCATGAAATGCTATTTTATAGGTCTCTTGGTTTCACCGATGTATTTTTCGATACAATTATCACAAGATATATTGTAAACTACATCTTTCTCCATACATGTCTTCCGAAGCCTCAGATTACATTAAACATTATTTTTTATATTATTATAAAAACAGATTATTTTTTTCTCGACAATGCAGGACATTATTTACAACATTTATATATTCTTGGATATGTAAATTCAGTTAACGAGTGGTAAATATTACTGATTTGTTAATTAATTTATCGAGCCATTTTTCACAAAAATCTTTAGAAAGAAAAATGTTGTTTGTTTGTTTTGAATTTCGCGCAAAGCTACACGAGAGCTATCTGCGCTAGCCGTCCATAATTTAGCAATGTAAGACTAGAGGGAAGGCATCTAGTCATCACCATCCACCGCTAACTCTTGGGCTGCTCTTTTACCAACGAATAGCGGGATTATAACGCCTCCACTGCTGAAAATGCGAGCCCGCGACCCTCAGATTGCGAGTCGAGCGCCCTAACTACCTGGCCATGCCGGGCCTAGAATGTTTAGACGATTGAACTTGGGTTTAAGAAACGTGCAAGTCTTTTTTTCTCTCTTATTTAATTACTAGTTAGAGTAGATTTTTAAAACATGAAAAGTTGCTTCCCTTATAAGTAATTGTAAAAAAACGCCCATAAAAACTGCAAGACATTAAATTTAAAACTGTAGATTTGTATGTGTCTTCGCATGAACCCAACAAACATTCCTGCCAAATTTGGTGAAGACCCATCAACAGGGGGCGAAGTGGTGGTAAGCAAAACTGAAAGTTTGTATGTATCTCTCCATGGACCCAATGAACCTCCACATCAAATCTGGTGAAGATCCATCTTACAGGGGGCGAAGTGGTGGTAAAAAAAATGCAAATAACGCCCATAAAAACCGCAAAACTTGTATGTACCCCCACACGGACCTCCATACGAATTTTGTTGAACATACATCCACACCTTGCGAAGTAGACAACAGACAGTACTATTATATTTATATAGATTTGGTTTATGATAGCTCTGACGTAACGATTACAGAGTGTTATGGCGTGCACATATGAAGGACGATTTCACCGAGGATCCTTTTAACATTTCAAATTTTTTAACAGTTTTCATGAAGTTTCGTACGTTAATAAACTTGAATTATTTACAATTTATGGCGTTCAGCACATCCTGATTTATGTAATTATTCACGTTCTATTAAAAAACAAAACCTCAGAGATTGTTTCCACGTGCAGTTGTAATATTTAACATGGTAATGAACCATGTTACTTAAAAAAAACGTTATTTCGAAGTGATTAAGCAATAACATTCTCTTTTATTCTTTTTTTCAGATGGAACAAGTCGAATCTTGAGTTGGAATACAATAAATGGAACATCAAGTTCACTGGTCTAATAACATTAATTCCTCCTATAGTGTGTTCATATTTTAAAACTTTGAAGCGACTTTTCAGATCACAGGATTATTATTTTTGTTGTCTTGCAAAACATTCAGTGTTATTTGAAAATAAAATATTCTGAAACTATATATTCAGTTGCATTACAAAACACATCAATTATTTCAAAAATCTTTCCCCATGTTAAAAATATCAGATGGGCAATGAAAATACCCTTTATTCCTGTGGCATTATATGAGATGGTTTCTGTATGTGTGCGTAGTGACTGTGATGGAGTATGTTGGGTAATAATAATACAGTTGTATAACGAGATTAAATACTTGGTGAAGCACCAGACTGTTCAAAGCAATAGCTAAAAACATTTTAACACTTGTTCCTTCGGTTTGTTTGTTCGTTTCGGATATTCGAACCAAGCTACATAAGGGCCATTTGCGTTTATAGTGAAGGTAGCTATTTAATAGCACCCACCGCCAATTATTGAGCTAATCTCGTCTGATCTCATACCGTACCCATGGCTTCAGAGTGAAGAACATTGTTGGAAGTGAGTAAATCTAAGAACAATCCGCCTTGATGAAATCTAAACGTCAAAACTGAAAACTGTAGCAAAAACTGTTTCTAACATTCTTAACACGAAAAACAAACCATTAACAATCTGAAAGTTAACAAAAACATTCAAATACATGTATATTCTATTGATGAAGGTAGAATAGTATTGATTTTATTTTTTTCAAAAACGCGAAATTAAATTATTTTTCAATTCTACGGTAACTTTCCTATAAATAATGACGAATAAATAAGAAATGTTCATTCAACTCATGCCTTTGATCATAGCATCTACAATGAGTGGTCACAAGTAAATAGACACCTAAGGTTTTGTCATTTAACTGATTTATGCTAACTAATTTGTGTTCACAGAGTACTATATAAATGAAAATGGTCCGCACACTAATTATCTTGTGCTACAACATGCCTAGAACTCAAGGTTCTCTCGAATTCTCAGATTTTGTTAGAGGAAGG